AGGCATCTTAAAGAAGGATAGGAAAAATAATGGTATCACTTTTAGCACAAAATGTATAAGGTGGACTTTTCCAGCCATGGAAATTATCTTTTGTTTCCATCTAGTTAGTTTCCTCTTAAACTTATTTATTATTGGTTTTCAGGTTTCCTCCTTCCTCGAATTACCCCCTACAAGAATTCCCAAATAAGTGAATGGTACAACTACCATTAATTTACAACTAGTGCAAAAAGAGGCTTTTACGTCACTTAAATAACGTCGGAAAACGGCACTACCGACGTTATAAAAATGCAGTGGCATATACCGTAATTTTGGTAGATTATTTACGTCGGTCCTAACTGGGTCCGACGTAAATTTTAACATTTACGTCGGCTACACATTGTGCCCGACGTAGATATTAACATTTACGTCGGACCCAATAAGGGCCGACGTAAATAACCCACTGCTGCTCATTAAAAGAAGGTGCATGTGCGCGCAGTAGCTATAGATTTCAAAAATTCACCTCCCGCGCGCAAAGGCTGAAGTGGTAGGGCCTTCCTCTTCTCCTTTAGAGTTCTTTTCAGGGATTCATTTCAAGCTTCTCCTTCTTCCTCTTCAACAACTTATATTTCTTCCCCCGTGCTTCTTGTTCAGCTTGGAACCACAAAGTTTTCATATTCGAGGTTAGGGGATCTCACTATCTTGTTTTTCTATGAGGTAGCATTTCCAATTTTTCTCGTTCAACTTTGTCCTGCATTTCTAGTTTTTGAAGCTGGAGAAGGAAGTGACCACGTCCGGATTTGGAGCTGGGTGTATCAAGCAGAACGGCCCGTTCTACTTGGAGAACGGGCCGTTCTCCAAGCAGAACGGGCCGTTCTCCAAGCAGAACGGGCCGTTCTGCTTGCATTCGTTTTTCTTTTTCTTTTTTTAAATTTTTATGACTTTTTTACGTCGGACGTTCTCATGTCCGACGTAAATTTACGTCGATTTTCGCGTTACGTCTCCCGCTTCTACGTCGGACATTTTTCTGACGTAAAAACCCCTAAAATGACCGACGTAAAATGTGTATTGTGTACTAGTGAATTCAACAAATCAATTACTCTCTAACATGTTCCTTTCCACTCCAATATAATTGAAACTACTTTTGAAAAAATTAGCCTTGAGACTTGAAACTACTTCGAAACACCATAGAATACACTTGATGTTTATCACATTTCTTAATGTTGGCTCTCCCAAAAATAATGTGTCATCAATGTGTTGTAGAAAATTGTCCTCTGTTATTTTCTCCAACCTAATACCTTGAAAAATCTTCCCTTTAAAGTTGCAATCCTCATGAGACCACTAATTAAGTCCCTCTGCCTCTGTGGTGATTAAAAAAAAGGGCGCTAGGATTTGTCTGTCTTAGCGCACGGTTTATATATAGAATTCTCCTATATTGGACTTCTGTTTATCAATATAGACACTTGACTCATTTTAAGGCACTTAGAAATCCAATTCACCTACCACTAGTACAAAAGAGGTATTCCATGTTGGATATTTTGAGCTTTTTACGTCAAAAAAAATACCAACATAAGAGCGGGAGACGTAAATTTACGTCGGACCTGTCAAACCAACGTAAATTTACATCGGACATTACCAAATCCGACATAAAACGTAGTAAAAAAAACAAAAAAAAAATATGAATGCAAGCAGAACGACCCATTCTCCATTCAAAACGACCCGTTCTGCTTGGAGAACGGGCCGTTCTGCTTGGAGAACGGGCCGTTCTGCAAGCAGAACAGGCCGTTCTGCTTCGTAGAACAACCCAAAAGAAAACGCCAACGACCTATACAAATAGAACAACCAAAAAATCGAATAAAACAGATAGTCACAGTAGCAATGCGAAGTAGAAAAGTGTTAATGAAACCTTGATTCATATCTGATGAGCTGCAACAGTGTGCGAATGAGTAACAAAGAGTTCACCCTTCTGCGAAAGACAAAAAAACGATTCAGTAACAAAGGAGAGGGAGAGGGTTTACAGAGAAAAAAACGAAAAGTGATGAAGAGTGAATGCGCGCAGTGTGCCCCACACTCTCTTATTCAATTTCGCGAACTTTTTTACGTCGGACCTGATAGGGTCCGACGTAAAATTTCAAATCTACGTCAGACAGAACATACCTCCGACGTAGATTTGACTTTTTACGTCGAACCTTATTAGGTCCGACGTAAAAAAGTTCGCGAAAATTTCAAAAATGCCACCGCGTTTTTTTTACGTCGAATTTTAATATTTCCGACGTAAAAGGGGTGACATAGTAACCTTATTTTGCACTAGTGTACCTATCACTAAAACCCATATGTTGTAGCATATACATTAGGAACCCCTAGTTGATTAAGTCGTAAGTCTTTTCATAATCCACTTTGTAGAAAATGCATTGCTTCTTCTTAAGTTTTACCTCATCAATAATTTCATTTGCTATTAAGACACCATGTAATATGTTCCTATCTCCTATTCCTATCTCCTAGGAAGGCTCATTGTGACTGATCAATAATTCTAGTCAACACCTTCTAGAGTCTCTTTGATAGAATTTTTGCAAGAATTTTATAGATGTAGCCGACTAATGAATTTGCCTTCTACTCCCCCAAAATGTCAAAGATCTTGAATATTTTAAAAGTTTCACAAAGATATTACCTATAATTTATGTGGAGATGATCATTCTAAAATTGTGAGTTAATATGGAACAAAACTTGTCAATCAAAATCTTGTGGTAGTCTTGTGATAAAAGATTTATAACTTTGCAACTTGTATTTATTAGCTAAATGGAGGTGACAACTTTTAATATATTCTGGTGTTGTTTGATAACCACTCTTAACTCATAAATATGGTAACATATGAAGTTTACATGTGGAGACTTCTAGGTGAACTTCTTTTTGTATGATTTGGTGGAAGAATTTGTGCTCAATAAAAAATGCTAATCATGATCAACCACTAGTACAAAAAGGGTAATTTACGTCAGTTATTTTAAGCTTTTTAAGTCAGAAAAAGGTCCGACGTAAATGTGAAAGACGTAAATTTACGTCGGTTGTGATAGTCGACGTAAATTTACATTGGACATTCACAAGAGTCGACGTAAAAAAGTTGTAAACAAAAAAAAACATAACGCGTGCAAGTAAAACGGGTCGTTCTGCTTGCAGATCCTCCCAAACGCGCAGCATTTTCTAGTTTGTATTAACTAATATATATTAACAAATGATGATCCACCCAAACGCGAAGAAGAGGATAATATTAACTAATATATTAATAGATCAATACATACATTTATTTTCAACATATTAGCTAATATATTAAGAAAGGATTTTCCAAACTAACTTCAAACACGAGCCCAATGCAATCGGTCAAAAACTCAAGAACCACCCAATTGCGCAAACGTACATTCAGATGGAATACACTCAAAAGAAATATTAACTCAGAAGACTCGAATTGCACATACACTCAAAGCTCTCTTGTTTAAATATTGACACGCGCGCGAATAAAATTTGAAATTTGTAAATATTTTACATCGGACCTCGTAGGGGCTGATGTAAAAAAGTTGGACTTAATTACAAAAATGCCACCATGTTTTTTTAACGTCAAATTTTTCTTTGTCCGACGAGAATACAGTGACGTAAATTACCCTTTTTCTACTAGTGAACTTGCATTGTTTACTTAAGGTGTAACAAAAAGGGTCAGAAATTGGGAAGAGACTCTATTTTGACATGATGCTTGGATTGATATGCTAGCCTAAAACATTCCTTTTCTTGCTTGTGTCAAATATCACTTAGCAAGATGTATGTGTTGCTAAAATGGGTAAGTGTGTGGTATGATAATAACTAGTGTTAGATTTGGAGGTGGTGGGATTTTTTGGAAGGGAAAAGGAGTTGTTGGTAGATCTGGTAAATGTCATGGGTTCTTTTTTATTATACAGCAACTCGCTAGATCAATAGGTGTGGAAGAAGGATTCTTTCAACAAAAAAAAAAATTATTGTTTGAACAACTATTTTTTTTTTCTTTTACAAACTCAATCAAAAAGGGAATATTTTGCATGGTTATGTTTAAAAACTTTTGAAAGAGTTTTGTACCTTTCAAAGTGATCTTGATTTCTTTTTAACTTGTGTAAATTAGAAGTTTTGACTCTGGGACAAACATATATTGTGTTTTTCCTTTGAGGAGTGCAATAATCACTATTTTCTATCTTGTTTGATGACAATTTGGATTTGTTTACAGCTTGCAATATTATGAGGTATTTTCTGATGATATTTTTGTTCATTATCTACATTAGCTCTCTTTTTTTTTTTTTAAAAAAAAAAAAGAAAAAAAAAACATTGTGTCTTGTTCGTCTTTCTATTTTGGTATATTGTGGTATATGGTCTACTTGAAATTATGCAAAAAGTTTTTTTTTCTTATATTAATGATATTTTGGACTTGAAAAAAGTTATATTTAAAGATAAATAGTACTTGATGTTTATATTTATTATTATTATTAATAATACAGCGATTTTTTTTATTCATCCCTTTAATTTGATTTGCTCGTAATTAAAGATTAGAATACTCCTTGAACTTGCATCTTAATAAAAAAAAATCTCACAAAAGTTAACGTGAAACAATTTAATCCTTCCAATATCTTATATGGTAGACGATGCAAATTCTTATAAAAACGAAAACAAAACAAAACCCGAATTAACTACCATTAGTTTATCTTTAATGCTAACTGCATATGGTAAAAAAAATGCCAAAATTTCTCTTGACTTCACTCATCCAAAAACTAATAAAATAATGCATGGTCAATGAATTTTACTTTTAAGTTTGTATTATTAGGTTGACTTATTTCTTCGCGTAAAGCTTCAAGGACCACTTCATTCTTTTCATCTCATGATCAATCAATTAATTAAACTGGAATCTACTGTCTCACGCTAAAATAGGAAGAATTAGTCAACTGAAACTTTAATTCACGATTAAAAGAACGAAACAACCAACTCAAAGCAAAATCTAACACCATTGAACGTGTCCAAAAGAGAAACAAACAAACTTTAATTTCCAGTGATGCATTTAATTATATGATATGATAATATAATAATGTTAACATTTGATCATTGGAATATACACTTCTAGAACCAAAGGGGTTGAAGGCCAAATTGTGAGATTCAATATTCAGATTCAAGTCTCCTATAACTAAGAAAAAGCAAAGTTTGAACTTCGAAGTAAAAACCAATAATCTAGAAGATAAGTTTCTCTTGACAAGATCCATCATCTAGAAGCCATTTCTCAAGCAAAGAGAAAGGCATGTCTATTCCAGCAGTATCTGGCTTGCTCTCATCTTGGAAAAGAGTAGCCTCGGGAGAAAGAGATTGTGAGAACTCAGAATTTGAAGATTCCAAATCCAAAGACTCATAACCAAACAAGGACTCAAAATTAGTCTCAGACATTTCAACACTGCTTGTGCTTCCCTTTGGTCCCCCACTTGTTGTTCCTTCACTGCAGGCAGTGTCAGCCAAGTTGTTGAAGGAATTTTGAGTCACAGCTCTTGAGGCTTTTGGAGCATTCTTCATCCACCCCTTAAGCAAACGAGCTATGTTGTCAGCACTTGAAGCATAGCTTATAGATTGTGTTGTTGGTTTAGTGGAATTATAGAAGGAAACCTTATTATCATTAAAGAGGTTTGCTGAATTTGATTCAGCTAACAAGGTCTTGTTTGGTGAGAGAGCTTCACTGAGGGCTTTCTTGGCAGTGTGGATGTCTGTTTGAAGCCTTCTTTCCCACTGGCCTCTTGACATTGGCTGAGAAACTGAAACCCCTGTGTGTCCCAAGCTTCCTTCAGAACCTGCTTCCAATTTGTTCAGCTTCTTTTTCAAATAGGTGTTCCAATAGTTTTTTATGTCATTATCTGTTCTTTGTGGTAGGTAGGCAGCTATGGCAGCCCATCTGCATCATAATCAATGTGCCTCAGTTTATCATGTGAGTTCAAAAATTAAGGACTAAGGAACTTCCCACACAAAAACTCAAGTATTATTATAAAAATATATATATAATTTATATGAAGATATACAGCCTGATACCATAAGAGTTTTTGAGAAATTTTCTATTAAATATAAAGGATTTTGTGAGGTAAAAAAACTCTTAAAAGCTCAGCTAAATTTTTATCGAAGTAGACTCACGAAAGTGTTATTATATGGAGCCAAATTCAATAACTAGGTGCTTCTGGCTAAAAATTAAAAGAACTTTAAGCAGCTATAAGTTGAATTTACCTGTTCCCTAAAAGGGCTTGAAGATGGATTATCATCTTCTCCTCTTGGTCTGTGAAGTTACCCCTTTTGATTCCTGGCCTAAGGTAATTAGTCCATCTAAGTCTACAACTCTTGCTGCACCTTGACAACCCTGAAAATCAAACCCAAAAGAGAGTACCATTTTTCAGATCACATCTAAATTAAAGAATCAGAACTTTCCCTAAAAGCAAGACAAAAGAGAAAAAGTAAAAACAACCAATGATCACAAAACCACCAAATTAAGATCTCAAAGTGGAACATATTGAGTTCACTAACCAGTATTGGAGGGAACAGCCTTCCAATTGCCAGGACCATGTTCCTGTATATAAGTCACCAAAATGATGTCTTCTTCAGGAGTCCATGGTCCTTTCTTCACACCCTCTTTATCACAACATGGTGGCCTTCCCATCCCCCCTTGTAGTAGTATAGTACCCTTTTTCCTCCACTCCCCTACTTTATGTGTACACTATAGCTATCTCTCTTAGATCTCTTTGTTTGGTTTTCCTCTTACTTGCAACTTTGCAAGATGCTAAGGCAAGAGTCAAAGTGGGGTGTATAAATAGTGCAAAAGAGGTGTCTGAAGGGTCGCTGACTGAAGGTGGAGAGAGGGAAGGCAAATAGTCAAAAGTTGACAGCGAAAAAGCATTAACTCTCTTGGGAGTAAGACGGCCTAAGTCAGCTCAGCTTTGGAGCAATACCTCTCCTTTGTGCCTCTCAAAAACGCGTGGGGGCATTCAATGTGACTGCACTCGGTAACCTCTATTATCTACTTTTTTAAATCTCTAACCCCAGCAAACATTAATTTTAATTAGATAAAGCTGGTGCTCAATTATGCCCTTCTTTCTATGCTTATCAACAGTTGTGAATTGTGATCCATCATCTATCTAAATAAACCATCCCTTTCTCTTTCAATTACTTCATCTGTAATAAGTTCATAGTGTTGATGATAGATTGAATTTGATAGTTTTGACATTAACCATACATATGGAATATTGCTTCTTTGGAAAAGGATGTCAAGAAATCTTTACTATGATTATGTTTCTGCATGTGTAGGTGCTTAATGTGAATATATATATATATATTATCATTTTATATATATATATATATATATATATATATAAATAAGGCGTTTTTTTTTCTTTTTGGATGGTTATTAAAAGGGTGATTAATTGTGCTTGGACAATAAAATATAAACATTTTGTTCTTTATAAGGTGTTGTAAGTTTAGCTTGGATTAGTTAATTTATATTTAAGAAATTTTATTTGTGCATAATTTTCAAATGCCAATTTAAAACTCCGTAAATTATGAAAGGAGTTTTGTTTAGTAGGTTAAAAAGAGTATGAGTTATTCTAAATCCCTTAATATTAAGAGCTTATTTGATTTAAACTTTTTCTAGAAACACATCTAGTAAAGAAAAATAAAAGAAAAAAATGAAATAATTTTTTTTATAAGTTAAAATTAATTTATGTACAAGTTAATTTATAAAGTTTTTTTTTTCTTCTTATTACTAGTTTCTTCAAATTTTATTTTTAATTTGTACATAAGCTAGTTTTAGTTTGTGAAAACACTTATTTTAATTTTTCTTTCTATTTTTTTTCTTTAGTAGTATTTGCGAAAGACATTTATTCAAATAAACTCTAAGTTCAATATTTATAAATAAAATAAACTTGATGAATCAATATATACAAGGATACTTACAGTGACAAACTTATATTATAGTGAGAGTGGACAAATATATTCTTCACTTTAATTAAATTATTAGTGTATATTTAAAAATATTGTATTTTACACTTCTAATTTTATATATTGAACTCACTGATGCTTGTTTTGAACATTTATATTTTGCTCTTTGTATTTGTGATGATGATAATTATTTATTTTTATTTATAAAAAAAAAAAAAAAAACTGCTCCTAATAATCTAAGCTCTTGAATTGGCCACTAGGTACTCAACCAAAGGTTAGCTTAGATGGTAGACCATAATATACGAGTTGTTATAAACTCTTTGGTATAAAGTTGAATACAATAACCATTTGTTATAATAAGCTCTTTGGTATAAAGTTCAATACAATGTATAAAAAAAAAAATACAGTATATATGAGGGTACTGAAGAGTCAAGATGGAGTTGGTGCTTGGCCAATGAAGGGACTGATCTGAGCATCGTGGATCCAGAGCATGAATATAATGTATGGCCATAATTAATAAATGGCAATTTGAAGCAATTGGTTCGAGCAATTTCGTGATAGAAAACCAAATCCACCTCAAAACTTTGTGGCATTCATAATAAATTCCATGAATGGCATTTGAAAGAGTAGGCAACCATACCCAGCCCCACAACCTTTGAACGTGTCATAAGTGGTACTCATCTGTTCATAGTAGTAAATCAGTAGCACTACGTGTCTTTTTTCTGTTTCCTACGTATATTAAATAATACCAGCATCTTTTACTTACATAAAATCAGTACAATATTAATAACATGTATTAATTCATTGTTTGAATAAGACGCGTTTTAATTAAGGGTGGTTCTCTTAATTATTTTTAAAAAAAATAAACCAATGACAAAATAATGTGCTTAGAAAATAAGTAGTAGTATTTGTATACAATGGTCCACATGATGGGATGAATATATCTAACTGCATTTAACTCACTAGCTTGATTACGAAGCTGCTTACGCAAGACATGATATGTAGTTATTTTCATGATGTATTAAAGAACATCATGTTAATTATGGTACAGCTTTTTCTTGGGACCTTAATATGGTTTTTCTTATGCTAAAAGTCAGTTTTAGGTTGCATTTCCATGTGAGGCATTTTCTTTCAATAGAGGGTCAAACGACAAGACCCTTGGAAACCACTGTTTGGCATGGAATACATATTACCACACAAATTGCTAGGGCTAAAGCAACTGTGAGGAAATGAATCCAGCCCACAGTTTAAGTTATAACAATTTAATTCGATTTGAGATTCAATTTTTATTTATTTGACCAGCAACAAAGAATTAATTGATACTAGTATAGAATATATTAAAATTTCATTTATTTCACCTAATTTATTTTTTCCTATTTTTTTTATTTTAATAAGAAAAACTCTTTCACTACAAATTGAACTTTATAAATATAAAATAGTATTTTAAGTCATAACTTATTGCATGTTAATATAAAAAATATGATCAAACAAAATATTAGAATAACTTTATTGAGTGAGAGTTTTTTTTCTCTAAAGATATTTCTTTTTGTTCAAAAATAACGTTTTTAATCTGTATTTATCAACATATGCATGCTGCACTTAGTTGCAGATATCATGGAGATTCTCAATTTACTTTTTTTTTTTCCCGTATTTCAAAAATAATGTTTTCAATCTCTATTTCAAAAATAACGTTTTTAATCACTATTTTTCATCTTTAATTTTTAAATTAAAATTTAATAATATTTTAAAGAAATTGTGAATAGTTAGAACTAACATTATCACAAAATAAATTATTTATTATAAATCTAAAATAAAATTTATATATTTAAAAATATTTACTTGTTATAAATTTTAATTATAATATAAAATATAATTTATATATTTAAAATATTTGTTTATTATAAATTTTTATTGTATAAAATAAATTTTATGATGTGTATCACATAGTTTAAACTACTAAATAAGAAGGGTCTAGTGGTGGAAGTGAGAATAAACAAGATAGTTCAGACTTTCCTTAGTTCCTCGGAACAATATTTGTAAAGTGAATTAGTCAATCTGATTCGAATTTCTAATAAGCTACATATTTTGTGGAAATTGTGGGTCAACTTGTCCCAATTATTTTTTAGTCATTTTTTTTTATCAAGTTTAGATTGTAGAGTAGGTTGAATTTTTATACCTAAATGTAAGTTTGATTTTTATTATTTCTATAGTAATCTTTCTCTGAGGGTTGAAAAATTACTAATAAGAAATAGTTGTTTTGTTTTATTATTATTATACCGATAAATAACTGTGTTTTTTTTTAATACAAATATAACTGTTTATGTGTGTAAATAAATACCTTTTTAATTGGTGTGTTAATTGTATATATGTAAAATGGGAAAAACCTAATCACTTATTATCTAGATCTGATCTCTCAGAATTCTTTTAAAATCCTTTAGCTCAATTCCATTTAATTTTTAGTGAGGAATTAATCTTTTTAAATGATATTGAAACCTGTTTGGATTTTTGAAATGGTCCAAAAATATAAAAACATAAAAGTGATCCTGTTTCAAGTAAAACTATTGAAATGGGTTAACTCTATTTATAATATATGCTATTTTGTTTGATTGATCTGTTAAATCTTTCCAAAGAGTGTTTTTGAAATAGAAGAAGTTGCATATTAAGAGTCAATAATCAAGCTAGGTTAATAAATTTATAACATGTGGTAAGTAGCAGTAGACTTGAAAGGACTACTCCTAACCATTTTTACTTCAAACTTTTAACTGTCTTCAGAGTATTAAAGAAGTTAGGCGTGTGCCCCCAATTATGACAAACTTGAGTCCAACCTATTAAAGCATATGCCTAACCATAACAATTCTTTGTGATCGTATTGGATAAATTGGATTTCAAGTCTTTGTATGAACATGTGATAGCAGACATAAGTCTAAGCTCTTAATACAGGTGTCTAATCTCAACAATATATATCATCATAAAAATTCATTGCGATTATCCAAGTTTAAGTTCGCTCTGACCTTATCTGTCATATATACTGTATCTGCAATCATATATTTTTACATCCATTTCTTTTTTATAGAATTTAATGATAATGTACAAGAATGTAGAATAATTATACATTATCAATTAATCGAATATTATCATCAGATTGAATTTTTACTAATGTATTACAAAAATTAACAGATTACTAAAAATTATGAATTGTAATTACTTAATTTACACGTATCATCTATTTTCTCTTTTTTATAATGGTACCTAAGACTTGTTAACATATTATTTTTGTTAAAAAAAATAGATATACTTGCTAACAAAATAATAAATATTAACTTATATAAATGAGTGTTAACAACATACTCTTTCTAATGCACTCTCTTTTATTGATTATAATTTATTAAAAATCACAAAAACAAGAGAAAATTATTAAATAGAATGTAAAAGTTATTAATTTTTGTATTTTTAATAAATTTCAACAAATTAGAAAATAATATATTTAAAAAAGTGTGTTCCTAGTAATTTTATACTTATGGTTTAAAATAGAAAGTTCTAGTTTAAATATTCTAAAATAATGTGCGTACATGCGCACGTGTCATCCTTACTCATCTAATTGTCATTGTTATTACTAATATCCTGACAGTTAGTTATTATTATCATTATTATTGTTATTGTTATCATTACTATTATCATTATTATCTCTACAATTATCAATTTCATTATTTTCATCATTGTTATCTTCATTAATGATGGCGATAGTTTTAAGCGAATCTTTTAATTATTATTATTATTATTATTATTATTATTATTATTATTATTATTATTGACTTGTTTATTACATTGTTGATTTACTAAGATGATAAACTTTAAAATTTTATCAATAACAGTTAAGACTAGTATTAAAAAAACATATTAAAAATCTTATTTATATATATAAATAGTGTAAAAGATACTTAAAACAATATAAAAAAAAAAATAAAATCTTTGTACTCAATTATTATAAAATTTT